ACTTCACATATCCATGTTAGCCTTAGCCCATTTAATCCTCAAAACAAATCTGGGATGTAGGTACTATTTTTATCCTAATTTTTTCAGAGGATAACAGTGAGAGTGAGAAGTTAATAGTGTAAGAACACACAGCTAGTAAAGGGGCAGATACTGGAGGTGACACTTGGGAACTGGAAAAGATGGAAAGATTGAAGATAAGAAATAGAAAAAGAGTGAGTGGGCCAAGCATGTGAAAAGTTTGGAAGTGTTCAGAGGCAAGTGAGGAAGAGTCTGGAAGCCTGGAGGGGAGCTGAGAAGGCTCTGGTGGGGCAAGCAGGGGAGTTCTCTTCTTACCTGTATTCCTCGATGTGAGGTGAGTACCAGCAGCACTCGGAAGGGGAGGACACACCAGTGGACCTGGAGGGAGGTGCATCAGTGTAGGGAGAAAATCAAAGCAGGGAAGATGAGTCTTTTTTTTTGGCGGGGGGTGGGGGAGAATGGAGTCTTGCTGTGTTGCCCAGGCTGGAGTGCAGTGGCACCATCTCGGCTCACTGCAACCTCAGTCTCCTGGGTTCAAGCGATTCTCCTGCCTCAGCCTCCCAAGTAGCTGGGATTACAGGTGCACACCACCACACCCCGTTAATATTTTTGTATTCTTAGTAGAGAAGAGGTTTCACCATGTTGGCCAGGCTGGTCTCGAACTCCTGGCCTCAAGTGCCCGTCTCAGCCTCCCAAAGTGTTGGGATTACAGGCGTGAGCCACCGCGCCGGGCAGAAAGGTGGAGATTCTGAGGTTAGAACATGCCTGTTCCTGAAGGTTTGGAGAGAAAAGGCTGGGGGTAGGACTGGGTTCAGCAACATCACTGCTAACTCCATGCCTCACCTGAGTGATAAGTGGTGGGCTCACTCCAGCACCCTCCTTAGCGTGGAGCTGGCGCTGGGCCAAGGGCACACCCTCAGGAGCAGCGCTGAGAAGCTGGGCGCTTGGTCCATGAACCACACCAAAATACGTGAGGTTGCGAGCCGGCAGCTGCAGCACACTGAGGTTGTTGCACAGGGCGGCGGCCGAGCCTCGAAGGGGAATGGAGCGCTCCCAGCGGAACATCCTGTAGGGAGGTGCCTCCGAATCACCAGGCGCGCTACAAACAGACGCAGCGGAGATGTCCGAGGGAGGCTATCATCGAGCATTTCGGAAGATGCCTGATACTGGGTCACAGGATGGGGTGCCCTGACGACGGTGATGGGGGAGGGTCACATGGCGTGGGGAGGGTCTCGAGGAGCAAGACAGGGGAGTCCCAGGGCTGTTTTGGGGCGAGGAGCAAGACAGGGGAGTCCCAGGGCTGTTTTGGGGCGACGGGGGAATCGCAGAGGAGGAATGGTGATGACACAGGACCACCCGATGGCCCCAAGCCTGCGAGCCAAATAAGTGTGATGAAGACCCCAAGGCTTTCTACCTCGGCTCGGATCCCTGAAGCCCCCGGCCTAGGTCAGAAGTAACACCCGCAGCCCCCAGATCGGCTCGCCTGACTCTTGGTTCGTAGGGTCCCTCCAAATCCACCGCCACCATAGAGACGACGCACGTACGCACGGCCCTTGGGCGGGGTGAGCGGCCGGAACGTGGCGCGGTTGCCGGGGCAACTGTGGGCGGGGCGAGCGACCCCGAGCGCGTGGTTGCCGAGGCGACTGTTAGGCCGCGGCGCGGCCGGGACGCAGCAGAAACGGTAGAGTTGCTGCGACCGCGTTGGCTATGGCGCACGAAGGCTCGGTGAGCTTCAGTTCAGCTGGGGATGTACCAGAGCCAGGGTCGGCCGTTAAGGACGGTGTCGGGAACAGTGGGCTGGCTCTGGGCCGCCCAGTGCGCCTACTTGCCCCCGCCCACCGCGCGAGTGTTCTAGATGACCTAGGAAGCCACGTCGGTACTCGGGCAGAAAACCTACACCTGCACGGTGCCCACTCAAACGCTTTGTCACACTCAGGCCATGAGGGAAAGGGTCAGTGGGTGGTGTAGAGCCCGAGAACGGGAAGTGGATTTTGAAACAGCTAATGAATGTAGTAAGTCTCTTACATGGTGGTGCGTATTTAAATGGATAAGCATTTAGAGAGAGAAGATAACAAAAAAATCTATCTCGAGAATTTCAAGAGGAAGAAATATATTAAATAATTCAGAGGCTGCACTTGAAAGTCAGCCTCTGAATTGTTTAAGAACCAATCAATTGTTTAATTGTTTAAGAACCAATCAATTTTAAATTGTTTAAGAACCAATCAATTTTAAAATAAAGAAAACGGGGCCGGTTGCAATGGCTCAGGCCTGTAATCCCAGCACTTTGGGAGGCTGAGGCGGGCGGATTGCCTAAGCTCAGGAGTTCAAAACCAACCAGGCCAACATGGTGAGACCCCGTCTCTACTAAAATACAAAAGATTAGCTGGGTGTGGTGGCGCGGTGCCTGTAGTCCCAGCTACTGGGGAGGCTGAGGCAGGAGAATCGCTTGAACCGGGGAGACGGAGGTTGCAGTGAGCCGAGATCGCGCCGCTGCACTCTAGCCTGGGTGACAGAGAGAGACTGTCTCCAAAAAAAAAAAAAAGAAGAAGAAGAAAAAGAAAAAAGAAAACGGATTTGAAGAGCCTTTGTGCAAAAATATCTCTCTCCCCTCTGGACACCATCACGGGTGTCAGATGCGAAGCTGGGAGGGGAGGTTTAAGGAACCAACTCTCTTTACCCAGTCCAGTCAGCCCTGCTCTAGTCAAGCTTGGCCTGGGCTGTGGGCCACTCCTAGTGCTTGCCACAGGGCTCTTCTCACTGGTGGATGGGGTAATGAGACTTAAGGGATTTTGAGTTCAGTGCAAGACTTAGGAAACAGCAGATTTGGGGAGATAATGAATTTTAGGAAACAGATATGAGACAAGGTTTTACAGAGCAATAAGCAAAGGTTTGGGAAGGTCACATTTGGAGGTGCATTTTGGAAGGAACCAGGTTCAGGGAGACTGTTGTGGGGAATTGAGGGAGCTCCCAAGAGATTGTTTGTAAACTTTTTATGTCCCTAAAGTGAGTTTTGGGGACTAGTCTTTTTTTTTTTTTTTTTAAGTGATTACAAAAGGAAACAAACTCATTGTAGAGAACTTACAAAATAGAAAAGAGCATAGGAAGGAAATGTACTCTCTGTTATCATTTTGATGTTTTCCTTTTGTTGAGCACATAGTGGTTTACATATATGAAATCATAATTGATATGTAATTTTGTATCCTGCTTCTTTCACTTAATATTACATCATAAACATTTGCTTTATGCCATTGCAAATTCTTTCTAAAGATTACCTTTAATGGCTGAGTCAGTGGCTCACGCCTGCGAGGTGAGCAGATCACTTGAGGCCAGTTCAAGACAAGCCTGGCCAACATGGTGAAACCCCATCTCTACTAAAAATAGAAAAAAAATTAGCCGGGCCTTGTGGCAGGCGCCTGTAATCCCAGCTACTCAGGAGGCTGAGGCAGGAGAATTGCTTGAACCTGGGAGGTAGAGGTTACAATGAGCTGAGATCTTGCCACTGCACTCCAGCCTGGGTGACAGAGCGAAACTCCGTCTCAAAAACAAAAAACAAACAGAAAAGATTACCTTTAATCATTGCGTAATATTTCAGTATATATAGCATAGTCAATTATTTATTCTCTTTTTAAAGACATATTTTCAATATTCTGCTATTATAAAAATACCACAGGGAATTTGTTGGAGAATATATATATATTAAGAACCAAAAAATATATATATATTTTTTTGAGACGGAGTCTCGCTCTGTTGCCCAGGCTGGAGTGCAGTGGCTGGATCTTAGCTCCCTGCAAGCTCTGCCTCCCGGGTTTACACCATTCTCCTGCCTCAGCCTCCCCAGTACCTGGGACTACAGGCGCCTGCCACCTCGCCCAGCTAGTTTTTTGTATTTTTTAGTAGAGACGGGGTTTCACCGTGTTAGCCAGGATGGTCTCAATCTCCTGACCTCGTGATCCACCCGTCTTGGCCTCCCAAAGTGCTGGGATTACAGGCTTGAGCCACTGTGCCCGGCCTGGAGAATATATTTTTATATTCATTTCAGAAAATGCCTTTTGGTTGTATTTATAGAACTGAAATTGCAGGGTTGAAGAAGTGAAAACATTTTTTGATGTCTTCATGCATACTGTTGCAGCATGATGTCACACTAAACCTTTGCCAATGTTGAGTATTCTTGTTTTTAAAATAATTTCTAATTTGATGAACTAGAAATCAGAATCTCAATACTATATTTATTAGTCATCTACAGCCCCTCTTTTGTGAAATGTCACGTCCTTTGCTTATCTTTGGGATCTCAAATGGTTTTTCTTCTTATAGTTTAAATTTTTATTGCAATGTAGCCCAAGCTGGACTTGAACTCCTGGGCTCAAGCAATCTCCCTGCCTCAGCCTCCCAAGCAGCTGGTACTATGGGTGTGCACCACTGTGCCTGGCCATTTTTCTTCTTCTATTTTTTATTTTATTAGTATTTATTTATTTATTTATTTATTTATTTGAGACAGAGTCTCGCTCTGTCACCCAGGCTGGAGTTCGACAGGATGATCTCAGCTCACTGCAAACTCTGCCTCCTGGGTTCAAGTAATTCTCATGCCTCGGCCTCCCTAGTAGCTGAAATTACAGGCGCCCACCACCATACCTGGCTAATTTTTGTATTATTAGTAGAGACGGGGTTTCACCATGTTGGCTAGGCTGATCTCGAACTGCTGACCTCAAATGATCCACCCACCTCAGCCTCCCAAAGTGCTGGGATTACAGGCATGAACCACCGCGCCCGGCCATTTTTTAAATATGAGCTTTTAATTTACTCGGGATATTTATCTTTTTTTCATATTTGTTGCAAATATCTTTGGTTGAGACGCTCTGGAGTCAGACTTGCATGTGAATACATTCTGACTTCACTACCGCCTACTTGTGTGATACTGGGTAAATTACCATAAAATGGAGATAAGAATAGTTGATTTAAAAAAAAAAAATGTAGAGAACTTTTTAGCTCCCCTGAGGCGGGGCTGCGCTGTCCTAAGGGGGACTCCGAGCCTGGGCTATTTCTGGCGCTGGCGCGGCTCCAGGAAGGCATCCGCATTTGCGACCAGCGGTGGCAGCGGTGGAGCCTGGCCGGGCCTCAGCGCCCAGCACCGCCGCTCCCGCCAAACCGGAGCATGCACCGCAGGCTGGCGGCCGAGTTCGCCCATCCTAGCCATCACTCTTCCACCTGCTCCTTAGAGAAGGGAAGATGAGCAAGTCAAGCTCAAAGTCCAGCCAGTCCTTGGCCTCCAAGCAGAAAAAGGACGGCACTGAGAAGCGGGGCCCTGGCAGGCCCCACCAGCAGCCTCCGGTGAGTCCCGGGACATCGCTGGTATGGAGTCAGAAGGAGCCCAGCGAAATGCCAACACCTAAGAGACCTCGGGCCGACCAAAGGGAAGCAAAAACAAGGGTGCTGCTAAGACCCGGAAAACCACCACAACTCCAGGAAGGAAACCAAGGGAAAGACCCAAAAAACTGGAGAAGGAGGAAGAGAAGGGCATCTCGCAGGAGTCCTCACCGAAGGAGCAGCTTCCTTCTGGGACTGGACAGCTTTGATCCACTCCCACCCCGCCACACCCTCCACCCCCTCCCGACACCCACCATCACCACCGCCTCCTGCCACCACCCCCATCTTCCACCTGGTCCTCACCACCACACTACACAACACACCAGCCGCTGCAGGGTCCCTATGGGCTGAGTGGGGAGGACTTTTCCCCTGGCCTGTTCCCACCCCTAACCCCCGCCCACCCACTCATACATATGTGCCCTCCTGGACAAGGCTAATGTCCCACTTAGCCGCACCCTGCACCTGCTGCGTCCCCACTCCTTTGGTGGTGGGGACATTGCTCTCTGCGCTTTTGGTTTGGGGGCCACCTCTCTGCTCCTCCACTGTTCCCTCTGGCTTCCCATAGAGGGGCCTGGGAGGGCTCCCCTGGCCTTAAAAGGGGCCCAAGCCCCCATTCTGGGACACCCCACTCCACTGTCCTGGCAGCAGCAGGTGTGGCCAATGGAGGGGGGTGCTGGCCCCCAGGATTCCCCGAGCCAAACTGTCTTTGTCACCATGTGAGGCTCACACCTTTCATCCTTCACCACCTTCCCTAGTCCCTGCACTAGATTGGACAGCCCCCATTGGCTACAGGAAAGCAGGAGGGGTGTGAGTCCCCTACTCCCTCTTTGCAGTGGCCCCAGCCCCCTTACCCTCTGCCTGGGTACTGAGTGCATATTGCAGTGATGGAGATGCAGTCACCTATTGTCCAGGTGAGGCCCATGAGCCCTGTGGCAGCCACCTGAGATGGGCTGGGGCTGCTTCCCCACCCCTACTTTGCTTCTACCACTTGGCCATTTCCCCCTCCTCAGATGGGGCACCAATAACAAGGAAACCACCCTTCCCACTCCCAACCCTCCTGCTCCTGCCACCCCCCAAGGTTCTGGTTCCATTTTTCCTTTGTTCACAAACTACCTCCAGACAGTTGTTTTGTTTTTGGTTCAATGTTCCATTCTTTGACATCCGTCATTGCTGCTGCTACCAGCGCTGAATATTTGTTCATCCACATTGCCTCCTGCTCTGCACATGATCCTCTCCCCCAAGTTACTCTTCGTGGGGAAGAGGGGCTGGGGCATGGCAGGCTGGGTGACCGACTACTCCAGTCGGGGTCCTGCCCCTAGGATGCTGCCCCAGAGAGAGCAAGGGGGCCCGAATCCACCATAAAGGGTGTAGGGGCCACCTCCTTCCCCTGGTCTGTCAGGGAGGGGTAGCCATTATTTGTCCCAGCCTGGGGCTCCCCCTCTGGTTTCCTATTTGCAGTTACTTGAATTTTAAAACAAACAAACAAAAAAAAATCCTTTTCTGGAAAACAAAATGTGGAGAAGACTCTAAATAGCACCAATAATTCCAGGACTGTTTACTGAATTGTCTTTCTCAAGTACTTTGAACACTGAAGAATTTTGAACACTTTGCACTGGTATAAGGCCCATGAAGTTAAACCTTCACATTGCCTGAGTTTGCTCACTGTGTGCTCCTAAGCAAGGATGGTTAACTTCTGTCAGTTTCTTTCTTCTTTTTCTTTTTTTTTCTTTTTTTTTCTTTTCTTTCTTTCTTTTCTTTTTTTTTTTTTTTTTTTTTCTTGAGATGCAGTCTCACTGTCGCCAGGTTGGAGTGCAGTGGCGCAATCTGCTCACTGCAACCTCCATCTCCCGGGTTCAAGCAATTCTCCTGCCTCAGCCTCCCCACTTCAGTTTATCTGTCAATTGTGGTTAGTGGGCTGTTAATGAAAATTATTAGGTGAAACATCTACTAAGTATCAGTCACATATGGGCTCTTCCTCAATTGGCCCTTTTCCTTCCCACTAGACAACTGGAGAAAGCTTGCTTCTAACCTACAGCTACTCTTACGTTCTACTTCTTGGTTTCCTGCTCTGACTGCCCTGTTTTGTTCTCACAGAGGCAGGAGAGGCAGGTCCGAGACCGCGGGGTGACCCGGTCCAAGGCGGAAAAAGTACGGCCGCCCACTGTGCCAGTGCCGCAGGTGGATATTGTGCCTGGGCGGCTCAATGAGGCCGAGTGGATGGCGCTTACCGCCCTCGAGGAGGGCGAGGACGTGGTAGGGGACATCTTGGCCGACTTGCTGGCTCGAGTCATGGACTCTGCTTTCAAAGTCTACCTGACTCAGCAGGTGGGCCGGGATTCGGGTCCTTCAGACTCATTTCCTCCCTCTCCCGCCTCTCCCTGCCGACCTGAGAGACCCTCTCTCGCCTCCGCAGTGCATTCCATTCACCATCAGCCAGGCCCGAGAGGCCATGCTGCAGATCACGGAGTGGCGCTTCCTGGCCCGGGACGAGGGAGAATCTGCAGTGGCTGAGGACCCTACATGGGGTGAGGACGAGGAACCTTCAGCATGCACGACAGACTCCTGGGCTCAGGGTTCAGTGCCCGTGCTGCACGCGCCCACCTCGGAGGGCCTGGAGAACTTCCAAGGCGAAGTACACTCCTCAGGAACCTCTCCGGTCTCCTTTGCCCCTACTCCTGCTCTCCCCTTTCCGACATCTCACTGTCTGAGTGCATTTCCCCAGGACCCTGGGGGCGTGGACCAGATCCCTTTAGGAAGGTCATGGATGGGTCGAGGCTCCCAGGAGCAGATGGAATCTTGGGAGCCTTCTCCGGAGCTGAAAGTCACCTCTGTCCCTCCTGCTACATCAGAGCTGTTTCAGGAGGCAGGGCCCGGCGGTCCTGTAGAGGAAACGGACGGCCAGTCTAGAGGCCTCTCCTCGGCCGGGTCCTTGAGCGTGAGCTTCCAACTGTCCGTGGAGGAGGCGCCTGCGGAGGATGCCGACCCTTCTCTGGAGCCGTACCTGGTGGCCAGCTCCCAGGCCTTAACCGAGAGGGGACAGCCGCTGGACTTCCATTTGTCATTGGAGGACCTCTACTGTTGCATGCCCCAACTGGACGCTGCTGGGGATCGGCTGGAACTCAGGTCGGAGGGGGTGCCCCGCATTGCCTCGGGCGTGTCGGAGTCCTGCCCCTCTGTGGGCGGCGCCACCGGCCCCTCAGCGTCCTCCCAGCAGCAGCGGGCCGGATCCTCGGATGTGCGGCTGAGCGCCCAGCACCACAGGATGCGCCGCAAGGCGGCCGTGAAGCGCCTGGACCCTGCGCGGCTCCCGTGCCACTGGGTGTGCCCTGCGGCTGAGGTCCTGGTCCCAGACTCTCAAACACGCCCCTTGGAAGCCTACCGCGGACGGCAGCGGGGCGAGAAGACCAAGGCCCGGGCCGGACTCCAAGCCCTCGGCCCCAGCACCCGTGTCTCCCCGGCAGCGTTCTTCCCTCTCCGGCCAGGCGTTCCTTTCCGTGCCTTGGACTCGGGCCCCGCACTCCAGTTCCCCACTTTAAATTTAGGCCTATCGTCACCATCCTTCAGGTCAAAGCTGTCACTCCCCGACTCCAGGATCCGCTTCCTCACCGCACACCCGGTGCTCCCTGATGTGGCCCGCAGCCTTAGCCCCAAGCTGCGGCCCAGTGCCAGGTGGCCCAGCGGTTGGGAGGGGGAGGCCGAGCTGCTGGGCGAGCTGTGGACTGGCCGGACCCGTGTGCCTCCACAGCGTCTGGAGCTGGCAGACAGGGAGGGCCAGGATCCTGGCAGATGGCCTCGAACCACACCCCCGGTCCTTGAAGCCACTTCCCAGGTGATGTGGAAGCCGCTGTTGCTGCCAGAAGCCCTGAAGCTGGCCCCTGGTGTGAGCATGTGGAACCGGAGCACCCAGATGTTGTTCAGCTCGGGTGTGCCTGAACAAGAGGACAAAGAAGGTAGCACCTTTCCTCCCGTTGAGCAACACCCCATCCAGACAGGTGCCCCAAAGCCCCAGGTGACCGTAGCGCAGCTAATGAAGAACTCAACCCCCAAAGTGTGGTCACACTCCTCTAAGCCCGCTGCCTCACTCTGATCCCTTAGCCTCTGGCAGTGGTAACAGGCCTCTCCCTCTGCTTGCCAGAAATAAACACCTGAGTTGCCTTAGGAACTAGTCTGATGTCTCTTGTCAGTTTCTTCCAAGGGTGTCCACCCTCTCACTGAACTCGAAGGGGAGCAGTTATCCTGCAGGCCTAGAAGAAGATAGAACCAGGGTTCAGGAAATAATCCTCTCGCCACCCTTAGGAGACCCTGCTTTAGGGCCAAAACTGGCCCATCGCAGAGGTATTGTAGAGAAATCCCCTTCCTCCAAAGGAGTACACATAAGGGCTGCCAGCAGGTCTGGCTCTGTAGAGAGAACTTGGAGTCTCCTTTCAGTAGGGGAGGAAGGAGATGGCCCTGCATAAGCAAAGAGTGATTCAAGATATGAAGAACTTGATTTCTTGCTTCCCCCGTCCCTGGAGCTTGGTCACTTCACCTTAGACTGCAAATCCAAATTTCACTTTTGGAGTTAAGGAGGAACTCTCAAATTCAAACAGTGTATTGAACAAACTCAAGAGTCAGTGCCTCCTTAAATTTTATCTCAGGCTCCATACCTGCCTCGTTGCTGGTCTCCACTCTGCCCAGATTTATCCTGCACCCACTTCCTCCTACAGCATTTCCCCAGCAGGCCCAGGAAGTTTCTGCTGTGTTGCTGTGGGCTGCACTCAGCATCCTAGTCTGGGGCGCTGGTTCTGTCTTCCTTATTCTGGTCCTCCTGCTTCAACTATGTGTGCTGCTCTGGCAGAAGTCTCATCCCTGGGACCTCCAGCGCTGCTCCACAGATCTGACTGGGAAAACAGCCATAGTAACTGGGGCCAACAGTGGTGAGTGCTCCTGCCACCCTGAATCCTCACTGTGGTCCTCAGCCTACAACAACTCTCACAGGGAAGGCAGGGAGAAGCATCCACTATCAACACCCTGGTTCCTCCCCTAGAGTGTCCCTTATTCACTGTAGTCACCACCCAGCCAAAGCTGTCCTCCCACAGGCATCAGGAAGGTTGTATGCCAGGACCTAGCTCCGTGTGGGGCCCAAGTGATCCTTACCTGTCAGAGCAGGGAATGTGGACAGTAAGCCCTGGCTGAGATTCAAGCAGCCTCAAACAGTAACGGCCTCCTGCTTGGTGAGGTGGACCTTAGCTCCATGACCTCTATTCGGAGCTTTGCCCGGAGGCTTCTACAGGAGAATCCTGAGATACATCTGCTGGTAAACAATGCTGGTATGTGCCTTGGCTTGCTTCTCCAAACACCTTTCTGCAGCCTCCTTTCTAGCTCAGGAACCCTAAAACAGGTGTCCTCAAAGCCTAACGTATGCAATCTTACCAGAACACACTAATCCATACCCTCCCCTAAAAAGCCAACATTGAGT